TGACTGGTTTTGAGAAAATGCCGATTCTCTTTCCTTCAGTTTAGTTGAAGAGTATGTAACAAGCATCAACCAATTTGAAAAAGTTTTTGCTTTTAAAAATCGACCTTCAAATGTAATTTAGAGGTCAAATAATGGAGTGATCTCCGATGACCTTGAGGGTTAGAAGTTCCGCTTTTTCAATCTTCGCAAGCTCATTGTTTGAATCTGAGGTCTGTAGCATTAACCGTTAGTGAGTTATGATCACAAACAGGGAAAAAAATAAGAAACCCCAGCACAGCTATCTATTCCGCCCATGGATGACTGAAGATATCGAACTCGGATATCTATGCAAATATTGCGCCCAAGGTCTCTGGAACTGCAACTCGGTATGAGCATGATATACCAATGTTATTGTTTCATTGAAGTCAATCGAATTCAAGAAGAATTACGCACTTGACATTTTTATCAAGATTACAAATTGAAATGGAATCAACTTTAGATATTTAAATGGATTTACATGGTTAAGTAATTTTGAAATGCTAAAGGTTAATCGAAAGATTTTTCAATTTTTTGGGTCAACCTTTTCTCGCTCGATTGATATTTCTCGGTAAATGTTGATTGTAATTCTTAGATGAATCTTATGATTTTGCCCACTTTTTGCTTTTTATTCTCACATTTGTCAGTCATAAGTAAAATTGAGCAAAATTGATTCCATTTTAATTATCGATTTTAATTTTTGTTAATTGCGGAGTTGAACTTTTTTCTTCTTATTTAATGAATATATTGCGCCAATTCAACTTTCTGTTCGATAAAATCGGAAATTCTTCCTCGTTTATTTACCTTTTCTCTTGTTTCCTTTTTTCTCTCCTCAGTATGATTATGCATGATACCTGTTCATGCATGGTGAACATTTTCTGCTTCTCTTTTGTGCTTGAAATGAAGCGATAAAGTTAAAGAAGGAAAGGAAAGGGTGAAACAATGAATCTGATTAGGACAAATGAATGGAACGCTTTGTGAATAATAATCTCTTATAAACAAACGTTGTATTCATTTTGAATCAATTAATCAATTGCCATGTATTGCATAATGTTTTCTTTTCCAACAAACAAAGAAAATATACACCAATAATCGCATGCAATGTTTTTCAACTCCATGAAAATTACTGACAATTTTTTCCTTAAAGCGCAACATATAAAAGTTAGATTAAACATCGGAGTTCATCTCGTAAGGGCCACTAGTGCACGTGAACCTGTTGGACAAGTGCTACACAAGTGTAACAACAAGAGTGACTTTTCCTTCTTTATCTAATATTTACAGTTTCGGTCAATTTTCTCGAAGATTATTCATGAATTAATCTGATTTTTAACCAATGATAAGTTAAACATTCAAAAGTAAACAATTTTCTGAAGAGTGTAAACATGGAGCAAAGAAAAAATGTCAATTCATTTGTTTTCTGTACATTGTTCATTCTGTTTCTGTACATAAACATTTGCTATAACAAATGGATTAACATTGAAACATTTATGATAACATCAAACAAGATGAGTCAACAAGATAGAGAATATGTTGGAACAATCTTATTTATCCATCATTTTTCTGTTGCCTAAAACTCTTACAATTTCATCATAAATTCACATAGCAATTTGGAACAACAGAAAGACTGTGAAACTAAAGAAATTTCGACATGGAAAACGAGAAAAAAGAAAATGAATTTCACGATATCAGAGTAATGCCCAATTACATGCCTTTACTCATTTGATCAGCTTCATTTGTATCTGTTTATTGTTTGTCTTGATATTCATTTCCATTGTCTATTCCAATATTGCATGGTTTCCATTCAATGGTACATTGATTTACCAGTCAACAGGAAAAGAAATGCAACCAAATGATCACTTAAATTGCAAATTGATAAAAGATTTAAAATAAGGTCAAAAAGTGTGCAAAAGTTTTTATTCATTTCTGTCTGGATTGAGAAACAAATAACTATTAAAATCCAATCCCAACCTCACAAGTGAATCACAATCTAAACCCAAATCAGGGTGTAACACTGAATTAGATTTGGTTTTATTGTTGCAATAAATAAAGTGAACAATTGTCAAAGTAAAAGTTTTTAATGAAAGAAAAACTCGATTTGCCTAAAAATTAAATTAATTCAAGTTGTATGCATAATGCAATATGGAGGCAACATTGAAACATAAAAGGAACAAAATTTTGCAACATTTACATGAAAAATTTCAATTTATTGCACAGATTTTTCCATCAAAGGTTAACCAAGATTCCCACTCTTGATATCAACAATGTTTTCATTTAGCATTTGCAAATCTTTTCCTTGAAATGTTTGAAATGAAGGTTCGAAGAGGTTGAGACTTGGAAACTTTTGTTCAGCAGAAATGTATCTTTTTCAGTTTGATACGGTTTCATGTTTATTGACTTTGTTTGTTTTAAATTTTTCAAAACATTTAATCTTGAAGTTCAAATTTATTTGAACCATTGAAAATGATTGATATTTTGTTATTTGACCTGAAACATAGAAAAGGTTTCAACAGTAATTACAGGTGAAACTCGGTTGAAAAAAGTAAAATTGCAACAACAAATTAGATCGAAATTTTGTCAAGCGAAAAATTAAAAAACTCTATTAATATAAGTCTTTTAATATTCAAAAATGTATTGGTAATTTGATGAAGAAGTGGGAAAAAAGTAAAGGAAAAAAATGCTGAATGAATGAACATTATTTTAATGAAATGATATTATTCTTTTTCGAAATACAAAAAAAACTAATAACATTTTGCATTATTTTTTCTGTCTCTCTTTGTACCTTTCAGTTTCTGTCCATTGATTGAATTATTTTTCATTTCTTTTTGTTTTTTCCACTCTTCTCTTTGCTTGAATATAAAAAATACTCGAGTAATAACATTATTATAATTTAATGTTGCAATATTTCAATGGCAAATTTCTTGTTCTGAAACTGAGAAACTTTTTTTACTGTAATTTTTGAAAATTTTATTCTCTTTTCATTTGAAAGTAAACAACTTTATTGACATTTGATGCATGCTATTGACTGATAAACTAGTCGTTCAGTTATGCTGCACAACGCAACAGATTTGGTCAAAGAGTGAAAAGACATTTGCTCTTAACACTTGGAATGATCAAAGTCGATCAACATGTTTCAGCTCAAATAGCCACAGGAAATTTGACTAATAAAGAGAATGTTTTCAATCTATTTTCAAAGTGAAATATTGTTTCTGTTCAATGTTTAGTTTTGGATTTGAATGCATCATAGCCCAAAGAGTCGTCACAACTTTGCCTCTGAGAATGAAAACTACAAAAGTTTTAGCAACTCGAAATGAAACTTAAGATATTGCTATTAATAACAGCCTTATAAAATCTCTTCAACATTTCCCTTCAATATAAAGATGATCTAAAATGAGCTTGTTTACGTTCTCTCGATTTTTTAAATTACTTAATATTCGAATGAGAATTTTCTGTTACATTGATGAACTTGATGTATGAACTCGAATGGTTCATATTATAAAGTCTTAATCGACTATTTTGAATAAACCTTTTCGTAAAATCAAGAGTTGAATTTCTGCAGCAACTTGTTTCCTTTTTGAGCTTAAATAGTGTTTTTCCAGCGCTATTTAGATCTTTTGGTTTGAGACTGAAACATGAAACTGTCTTATAATTAAAGTAATGCATCGATGCAACCATTGAGCTTTCCCCAAATCAAAAGGTCAAAACTATTGATGGCAATAAATTTGCAACAAAAGACATTTGATGAAGGAGGACAAAAATGAACTAAAAGTCCAACTGTTTGGTATTAATGATGATATTGAATTGTTATTGTTATTGAGGTCGACCAAGAAGAATAAATTTTTTGCCAAATTATTGGAATGAGAAGGAAAAAAAATGTTGCAAGAATAAGGCAAAATAAGTCAACTTGGCTCTATTCCTGGAACCACTTTAATAAAAAGCTGTTTTAATAACAGTAAATGCAATAGTGCTTGTTACTCGTGATTTGCCAAAAAATCAAAGTAAAGTGTGCATTAAGTGTATTAGCAACTCTCATGCAATTCAAGTCCATTGCAGTCAGTCTCATTTGGCTACCATTCTAGGTGTAGTGGCCACTTCCTGACCCTCCTTATCACTCCCAGTCGACTATGCCAGTTGTAAACCAATTTCCTCTTCTTCTTCTTCTCCTGCCTCTTTTCCCTCGTTTCCCTTTCTGACTCTTTGCCCCTCACTTTTGGTCTCGCCAATTGTCAATACTTTATCGCGTGCCTCTTGACACAAAAGACTCTGGAGGTTCAACTGTTATGTGCAATAGACCGACATTCCTGGTTCACCATTGTCAGTAACCGGTTCCAATGAATAAAAGTTTATCGACAAATTTATGTCAACCTTTACTTTAATCAAAATAATTGAATCAATACAATCACCATAATATGAGCCATAATTTTAATAATATAATTCATTGAGATTCAACTAGAGATGAACCACTTTCTTTCAATTCGTCAACCATTTAATTTCCTTCCTTCTACCTCAATGTTATCTCTTTTTCATTCATCATTTAACCCAATTCCAATTTGGAATAATTGCAAACTATTTAATCATTTTTATTGATGAGTCCAACTCGACTTTTACCAAACTTTTATTCCTTTTGTTCTTTAATCATTTTCTCTCATCACTCTTTTATCACCATTATCATTGTCATTTTCATTTTGCCTTATCACTCCCTGTCAGTCCAAAACTATTCACCTTTTCTCATTCAATAATCAAAGTAAACAGAACAAGAATAAATTTTGAATTGACTAGACATTGTGCCTTTAGAATTGCATTTACAAACAAGAATTTGTTTAATCACAACTTTAAATCATCAACAGAATTGACAAGATGAACAAATATTGAATCCTGTCCATTGAATAATCCAATGAATGAGCTTCATTCCAACCATTTTTCCCATTTGATTCTCAATGAAAAGAAGAGAACAAAAATTAAATTCAATTTTTCTCTCACCAAAACAGGTTACAGTGAGTACACAGCTGCAGCCGGAACATCAATAGGTCTTCCCTGTAACACGTCAATTTGGGGCGAAGAACTCATTTCTCTAGTTTTGTGGTACAAGGAAAACAGTGGAAGCGGTTTACCAATTTATTCAGTCGACGCTCGCAACAGTCCACTCAGTGAATCGAAACATTCAATTCCAAATGCGTATAAAAAGAGATTATTTTTCGATGTAAAACTGAAACCTCCTGTTCTAAGGATAAGTCCAGTTTACGAAGATGATGCCGGTGACTATCGGTGTCGAGTCGACTATCGAAAGTCGAGAACAAAAAACTTTGTAACCAAATTAGAAGTAATAGGTAAGTCGATTTAATTGAGATATTTTTTTGTGTCTTTTATTGATCTTTTTCCAGACAAATTGCAATCAAACGATTAATTTGAAACTTTTCCAAATGATTAACGAGCAAAAGTCTTTATATTTGACAATCAAATGATGAAGAAAATTAGGAATAAAAAATCGATATTCTTTTGCTTTTAGAACATTTTGTTCCTTTTTTTGTCTTTTCGTTTCAATGACAACATTTTGATGACTTTCGTGGCATCAATTGAGAGCAAGTGTCTAAATGATTTAAAGTTAAATGAACAAATGAATCGATTCGAGCAACATTTCAACATTTCTCTTTGACTAATTTTTAACTTTGGGTTTGGAAACAAGGTTTCACTGAATTAAACTCGAGTGTAATAATGAACAATGTTTATTCACAAAGTTTTATCAATTTTAATGAATAGCCTCAAGTTTCATTCAATACAAAATTTACCATTTTACTCTTTAATTTGCTTTTCTCTTTCAACTCGAGCTCTCATCATGTTCATTTGGTATCATGGCTCTGCATTTAATCTGTTTTAATGTTGCTCTTGCTTTCAAAAGGTTCACTGTTATTAGCCAAAGATGATCAACTTTTTACTTTTTCTGATCATTTTTTCTTCTTCATTGCCTTTTTCCACTCTAACTGAGTTATTGGAGCAACCTTTTTAAGCCAATTAGTCGATTCACTTTGGAAATGCCTTGGAGCATAATTAGTATCGATTGGTTACCATTTTTCACCGTTTATTCATTAAAAGAGTTTCAGCTGAATGAGAATGAAAGTGTAAAAGCTAGAGAAAAAGTAATGAAAGTAAATATTACAAGAAAGTAGAATTGAAAAAAAGGTTAGTGTGAAAGGAAAGGTAAAACGTTTGAAGTGTCCAGTTAAAGGCGATAAATTGAATTACTCGAGATTATATTGATGCTAATCGACTTAACTCAACTGGGTTAAATAATTTTGTGGTGGAAAAAGTTTAGTTGGTTGTTACATAAATATTAGAAAATTGAGTTATTAACAATTATTAATATTATTTATGGCTATTCAAACTGTTTTACTCCACATTTGGTTCAATCCTTTGGTTCTTTGGATTTCAATAAACTGCTTTTTGGAAATTCATTCATCGCATTTTCTTCAACCAAGATTCCTTATTTTCATGAAAAACTATTTTATTCTGTTTAGAGTTTAGTGAAGTTGTGACAAAAAAGTTGATTCTAACAGTTTGGTTCGAGTGAGAGTAAACTTTTAGCTCATCAGCAAAAAGGTTTTTAGCCAACTCTAATGAGCATACTTTGCCGGCTCAACTTGAGCTTATCCAAGAGATTTGACTAAGAGGTTAGATTCATGACTTGGATGCATCATTGGGTCATTCTGTTGTTCATTAATAAGAAACAAAGTAGCTTGAACTTTTACAATAATGACTTCACCTTTTAATCTAATGCATATTGCATTAAAGATAGTAATTTAGCTTTGCCGATCATGACAAGTTTATTAACGTAATTGATAAAAAAAATGAATTCCTAATTAGCAATCGAAAGATTTTTTATCGAAAGGAAATAAAGGAGCCATTTCGTTGCTAGAAATTGAATGGAAATGCAAGATTTATCTGGTCATCTGGCATTTCAAAGACAATTGGAAACAAAGTTTGTTTTAATCTTAATGGTGTCACTAAAGTTTATTTCAATTTAATGAAATTTAGTTGAGCTTGAATGAATTCCAGGCAGACATTCATTCCCACCAAATCTATTATCACCTAGTGATAATGATTTGTTATTTTTTTCATTTCCTTCCTTCCCTGGTTTCTGTCTAAATTCTGGTTAACCCAACCTTCAGATAAAAATATCGCCTCATTCATTTCTTTTTTTTTCTCTCTGCCAACAACAAAACATAAATAAATCTTTTTGGTTAATGGCAATAAAGTAAAAAATTATTGACCTCTCAATGGTCAAAGATCAAACACACACAAAAAACAAGGTACAAATTAGCTTGATTATGATGTTTCCTCAGCCTTAACCTCTTCCCTGGAAACTCAAAGGTAACTTCTGGCCTGGCTGACTGACTGAAAAGAAATGATAGAAAATTTATGATTGTTTTGATTACTTTCATAAGATGGTGAAAAGAGAAATTATTTTTTCTTCTTTTTTCTCTCTTTTCCAAGCCATCAGCAAACTATTTGCACTTTTCAGTTGTTGCTGATTCTTTCAATGGGTCAAAGCGAGTCAACAACTTGCAGCTCATGAGCCGTTAATCAACAAACTTTCATTATTAAACCTTTTCTTACCTTTTATCAGCCAATTATTTATGACTGAATCTGTTTGTATTGGACCAAAAGTTGGATACAATTGTCATTGAAAGTGAAAGAAGAAAATTCTTTTCATTATTATTACATCAGATGAAATTAATTTCATTCCCATTCCACTGATTACAACCATTTATAATTTTGGGTTCAGCTAGCTGCACATTCAAGCTTCTTGTGCCATTCAACTTTCACTGGACCGTTTATTTGATTTTTGCATGACTCGCCTCAATTAGCCTTTTGTGTCCAAACTTTGCTTTTTTGGTCAATGTGTTTCAATAAGAATCCTCTGTTTGGCAATCATATTTTATTGATTAAAGAGGAAAGGACAAGAGAGAGAAAAAAATGTGATTCAACAGAAAATTAATGATTTACAGAAAAATTCATACTTTACACAAAACTATCACATTCTGCTTTCGAGCCTCAAGTTGAAGCATCAATTTTGTTTTTTCCCTTCAACCCTTTACCGGTCGAAAAGTAACTTTGTTCATTATTTCGAATCCTAACATTTACAATAATCTTTTTTCTGTTTTTCGTTTTTCGAGTTTCGGTCAACTTTTGCTTTTCATGTTTTCATGCTTTTGGTTGTGTTTAGGATCGGCCTTGCCTTGGTTTTTGACATTGAAATCAAGTCAAGTATTGTTCAATTGGAAATAGGCTCGAAGGTGAATCTTGACAAAAATGATGTTGCAAGTGAGAGGCTCTTAGCTTTACGCCTGTAGGCAACAGAAAGGGTACATTTTGTGTTAGGCAAGTGTTGCATTGGGTGAGTGGAAAAGGCTTAAAGTGGCAATTGTTGTTAAATACATTTAATATTATTTGGTTGATGAGGAAAATGTTGTTAACAGTAAACTAGTAAATATTATATGAACCATGTAATCAGCTTTAGATTGAAGCTAATTGTGGTCTTATTATCTTTTGATTTTTGTTGAGTCTCTCTTTTCCACCTTTCATTCCTTGCCTTTTTCCTTCCTCTTCAAGATCAATCAATACAGTTGCGCTTGTTTAATCAATGATGAGACACAAAAAAAAGTTAATTATCAAGACAAGCTTTTTCAATTCATTACATGGGATTGAATGAAACTTGAAATGAGATTCACACTCTGGGAATACATAATGGTACAACTTGATCAGCTCATTTACAAATCAAAATGCAAAGACAATCCATTTGAGTTAATTTGTTCAACTAAATAAAAGCAAAATACATTAGAATCTCAATTTGCATTCTTTTCACCTCACCAGTCGTTGAAACGTCATTCACAAGGAAAACAGTAAAAAACAATTTTTCGATTTTTTCGATATTCTTAATATGACAATAATTTCCAGCGACAAGTCTTGAGCCAACATTTTTAATGTAACTTTTGTGGTGAAAAATATTACCATTTGCTCAATAGCTATTTATGTTTCGTGTTTCCCTAATTACTTTGATTAAGAGACTCGAACGTAATCCAAGAAGTTTTTGGTTAATCACCTCAAGCTGCACCTTTAATAGATGCTTGGGTAAACACCTTTATTGACACCGCCTTACGGTTGTTCAATTAATCATCACCTCAGCCTAAAGATAGAAACTTGTATCAGCATGTAAAATGAATGTTGCAATAAATTACAACTTATGACTTACAGCAAGCTTAATTATACAAGAGCAAAGTACAATGTACAAGATGAATCCAATCAACAGCCTCTTTCCCTGTACATTTAATATCTTGAAAGGCTTACAGGCAAAACTGGATTCAATTCTTGGCTTATCTAATGATGATGATCCAGTGCAAGATGTAATTGAAAGGCAGCAAACATTAACAGCCAAATGTTTATCCACAAAGAGTACGAGTACAAAGAGTTGCAGCCTCCACCTCTTTCCAGTTTAACCCAAAAGCTTAAAGCTTGATCAACATTCCACAAATCCATTTAGAGCAACAATGAGCGACAAGATGTAACAGCAGCACAGGAGGGCAAAAAAAGAAGAAGAAGAAGAAGAAGAAAGAACGAAATTAAATTGCAAATTTTTACTCCAAACCAGCATATCAAAGCATCTCGACTCATTGTTAACCAGTTTACTGCAAACCAAAATCACAAAAGAAGAGCTAAATAGAGGGAAAAAAGGACAAAATTGTGACAAGTTTCATCTGTTTTCATTCTTGCTGAGTGCTGCGTTTCACTCTGTTGAGCAAAAAAAGAAACTCATTGTCGTTCTTTACCATGCCAGCATCAATATCATCATCGTCAATCATTTATATCATTTACAGAACTAAAAGTATTTTTTGCTTCTCTCGGTTCAATTTAACAGAAGAAGAAGAAGAAAAAAGTAGAAACAGAAAAGACGGAAAAAGGAAACAAGCAATAGCAATGGAAAGCAAAAGATGAAAGATAATCGATTCACCAATCAATAAACTGGCCATAAGCTGGTTAATAAGGTGTTTATTACACGCAATGAGAAGTTATTTGATTATTATTGCTTCTAATTATCATAATGAAATTAATCAGCATTCATCATAACAAGATTATCTTCGATAATTGAATGAGCTTGATAAACGCAATCTTTAATTGTGTTTTGCACATTAGAAAAAGGTCGATTCGAGCTTAAAGAAAATAATCTTTTCGATTTTTCACAATTATGCTTTCAATTTCTTTTCGAATGAAGTTTCGAGTCTCAAATTTGGATTTTTTCTTGTTAAAGATTTTCAACTTTTCCATGCTATTTGGT